ATACCCTGAGGATAAATAATATTTCCTGGCGCAATGAGAAATACAAACCTGTCCCAACTACCATGCAAGTCGTTGAAATTATTTACTAAACTTACATTAATCTGGCACAAGGCCAGTATTTTTGCACCCCGTAAGGATTGGTATACGAAATGATTTTGCCAACAAAAACTGAAAGAACCTCTTTGTTTAAGAAAGAAACAAAGAGCAAGGATAATAGAAAAGCTAATCGTTTCAGTGCTTGCTGCCTTGTGACAGCAAATCAGTCTTGCCGACAGGTAGCTAATGAGTTTACCTCTCTCGTTGCCCAGACGCCAAGTTAATTTCAGTAATATAACTAAATCGAACATCATGTCTGTCGGGTTTTTCTGTCATAAAGAAAAGAAGGCGCGCGTATCAGTGCCAGTAAAGTCCACCCTCTGCCGGAAAGAATTTCAGGAAGAATCAAAGAAAGAACAAAATCAATCAAGAAAGAAAGATATCTGTAGTGTTTTTTTTGTTTTGTTTTTGAAATTTTCAGGAAAGTTGTATATTTAAATGAAATTTTCAAAAGTCAGAATGTCATTGTTGAAATGAAAGAAATGAATAAAAGAAATGAAGGAAATGAGTTTAAATCATCAATTGAAATCATATGAAAGGAAGAATGTGGCACAACGCACACCTAGGAAAAAAGGCCATTTTTTATGGACATATATTAAAATACAAATTCAATAAAAAAAAAAATAGCGAAAGAGGAAATGAGGAAATATGGGGAAAGGATGAAAAGAAGATAGTTGATAGATCAAGGCAACTGGAATGTCTGTTGAAACATTTGAATAGTTGGAGATTATAGCTATCAGGAAATAGGAAAAGGAAAAGAGGAGTTCCACAGGCGAGAAGTGCGAATATGAAAAAGAATTGGAGTAAAGAGACGGCTAATTTAAGAATTTCAACAGTGAGGGTGAAAATGATGCCAGCCTCGTAAGAAAGAACACAATGAGAACAGAGAACCAAAGAAAGCAAATCATCGGAAGCAAATAGAAAGAAAAAAAAAAAGACAGAGAAGGCGACAGTCTGTGAGAAAGAGCAGACTGCAGACGAGATGCCAATTGCAAGGGACAATTTTAAGGATATCCGTCTCTGGATCTTATCAGAACCCCGAGCCCTATGGAAAAATGTGAAACAGGCTGTTTACTTAGCACCCTAGGATCCATCTCTTCGACAGCACTTCTGTGGTGCAAAAGAAAGGATAGAACCGTGAAAAAAAAGAAAGCGATTCCGAATTTTTTAGATAAAGGCTACCAAGAAAGAAAGAAAAGAAAACGAAAAATTTTGAATTTCGATAATATGGGCTAATTTGAAATGCAAATGGGAAATCATTTTTCAACTGAAACAATTCATTATTTATAGCACGATCTGGAAAATCTGTTCTGGGATCATCAACCATCAAAACAGAAACCACCGAAAAATACAAGCAACAGTATGTAAAGAACCTATCCCTCTTATTAAACCGAAAGAAAGAAAGAAAGAAAGAAAGAATCTTCTTCTTCTTCTTTGAAAAAATCCCATCAGGTCGTGGGTGATCATGGTTTCCAAGAAAAATCCTTTGTAACTCTTATTAATGTTTGAGTCTTCACTATTCCTCCCTTAGCCATTCAACACGAAACGTAGGTTAAATCTGTATCTTGCCGTCGATATTTCCTGTGAGTATCAAATTCACCAAACCCTCTTTCCTCATTCTGATAAACGGTATATTTGTTTCCGTTATCCTTAAAACGCATCCTTCAAAGTCCAAAAGAAATTCTCAGCAAAGAAGTTGAACTACACCTCTGTTGCTTCTCGCCTCTTCTTCTTCATCTGCGGAAAGATTGTCCAGCATTCACTGTCATATAGGAAGACTGTTTAGATTGGTCCCATTAAAGATCTTTAATAAGTATTACGTTTAGAAGCCTTACTTATAAAGAAACCGATGAAAAGATACACAGAATCTGACGACTGTTAACAGTTTGGTTAAATGTTGATTTTTCAAGAATAGATCCAGTATTAAAGAATGATTTCTAACTGTGCAAAAGATAAGAAAGAATCCAAAGAAATGAATCCAAAAGAATCCACAAGAAAGATAGAAAGAATCCAAGAATTTATCAAAATCTAACAAAATCTAAAGAAAGAAAGAAAAGAGCAGAACAGAAACAGGCATTCTATCCATGGCCCTTTTAAGAAATAAAGACATGCTCTCAAGGCAAATCGAAAGAAATCCAAGGCAAGAAAAAGAAAGAAGCTAATGAGAAAAAGAAAGAAAGAATGGAAGGCAAATATGATAGAACTCTATCCATCAAGAAAATCCAAGGAAAGAAAGAAAGAATAGACAGCTCTCAAGGCAATATAGACACTCTAAAGAAACTCTCGAGATAGAATCAATCCATGGGCAGAAAGAAAAAAAGAAAGCTCTCAATGAGAAACTCTGTCGAAAACACTCTAAATCCAAGGAAAAATAGAAAGACAAATCCATAAGAAAGAAAGACATGCTCTCAAGGGCACTATCGAAAAAAAAGAAAAAAGAAATCAAAAGAAACAGAAAAGAAAGCAAGAATGAAAAAAGAAATAATTTAAAGAAAGAATGGAAGGAAGAATGATAGAAAAAAGAATCCAAAGGCCCTTTAATCCATAGAAAGAAAGAAAATAAAAAAGAAAGAAAGAATAACAGAACCCAACAGAAACCAAGGAATGGTATCCAAAGAAATAAAGAGCAGAAGGCGGCAAGTCAAAAAAATAGAAAGAAAGAAAGAAAGAAAGAAGGAAATGAGAAAGTAACAATAATTGAAAGAAAGAATGGAAGGAAGAAATGATAGAAATATGATGAAAAGAAAGAAGAAATCCATCAAGAAAGAAATATGAAAGGCACTTTAAAGAAATAACAGAAAGAAGGCAAGGAAAAGAAAGAAAGAAAGAAAGAAAGAAGGCGGTATCCATAGAAAATGAGAAAGGCACGAATTGAAAGAAATCCAAAGAAAGGAAGAACATGCTTAACCAAAGGCAATCCATAGACATGAAAGAAAAGGAACTCTATCGAGAACAGAAATCCAAGGCAATCCATGAGACATGCTTAAAAAAGAAAAGTCCAAGACATACGGCAATAGGCAAAAAAGAAAGAAAGAAAGAAAGAAAGAAAGAAAGAAAAAATGGAAAAAGTAACGCCTTGAAAGAAAGAATGGAAGGCAAGAATGATAGAAAGAACAAAATCAAAAGAAAGACATGAAATAGGCACTCTATCGAAGACAGAAAGAAGGCAAAATGATAGACAAAGATCCAAGGCAATTGAAAAAAAGAAAAGAATAAAGAAAGAATCGAAAGAAAGAAATCCACAAAATCTAAGTAAGAAAGAAAAGAAAGAATGGAGAAAGAACAAAGAAAAAATCCATAGACAAAGAAATGGCCCTTTAAAGAACAAGGAAATATGGAATCGATAGACACTCCATCCATAGGCACAAAAAGAAAGCTCCCTTATCCATAGACATGCTCTCAATAGGCAAATGAAGAAAGACACTCATCCAGGCAAAAGCGATAGACATGCTATCCATAGGCCCTTTATCCAAGAAATAAAGAATAGGCACTCTATCGATAGACACTCTATCCATAGGCACTCTATCCATAAACATGCTATCCATAGGCAAATTATCCATAGACATGCTCTCAAAAGGCAGAAAGAATAGACACTCTATCCATAGGCACTCTATCCATAGACATAATCCATAGGCCCTTTATGCAAGACATCCTCAAAGGCACTCTATCGATAGACAGAAACTCTAGAAATTTATCATAGACATGCTCTCAATAGGCACTCTATCGATAGACACTCTATCCATAGGCAATCCACAGAAATGCCTATCCATAGGCCCCTTTAAAGATAGACATGCTCTCAATAGGCAAGTCTATCGATAGACACACTATCCATAGGCACTCTAGAATAGACATATCCATAGGCACTTTATCCATAGACAGAATAGGCACTCTATCGATAGATAGAAATCCATAGGCAATCTATCGATAGACATGCTATCCATAGGCCCTTTATCCATAGACATGCTCTCAATAGGCACTCTATCGATAGAACACTCTATCCATAGGCACTCTATCCATAGACATGCTATCCATAGATCCATAGACATGCTCACAGAAAGAAGGCACTCTATCGAATGGACACTCTCTCCATATTGGCAGATCCATAGACATGCTATCCATAGAATCCATAGACATGCTCTCAAAGGCACTCTATCGATAGACACTCTATCCATAGAAGCGATAGACATGCTATCCATAGGCACTTTATCCATAGACATGAAATCATAGGCACTCTGTCGATAGACACTCTATCCATAGGCACTCTATCCATAGACATGCTATCCATAAGAAAGAAAGAATAGACATGCTCTCAATAAGCACTCTATCGATAGACACTCTATCCATAGGCAAAATCCATAGACATGCTATCCAATTTTATCCATAGACATGCTCTCCAAGGCACTCTATCGATAGACACTCTATCCAAAGGCAATCTATCCATAGACATGCTATCCAAGGCCCTTTATCCATAGACATGCTCCAAGGCAATATGGACACTCTATCCAAGGCAATCTAAGAGACATGCTATCCATAGGCCCTTTATCCATAGACATGCTCTCAAAGGGCACCTGTCGAAAGACAGAAATCCAAGGCAAATGAGAGACATGCTATCCATAGGCCCCTTTATCCATAGACAGCATGCTCTAATGGCAATCGATAGACACTCTATCCAAAGGCACTCTAATAGACATGCAATCCATAGGGCCCTTTATCCATAGACATACTCTCAATAGGCACTCTATCGATAGACACTCTCCCATAGAAACTCTATCCATAGACATGAAATCCATAGGAAATCCATAGAATGAATGCACTCTAAAAAGAAATCCATAAATCTAGATAATTATCCATAGGCCCTTATCCAAGACATAAAAATAGGCACTCTATCGATAGACAAACTATCCATAGGCACTCTATCCATGAACATGAAATCCATGGCCCTTATCCATAACATGCTCACAATAGGCAATCGACAGGACTCTAGATCCATGCTATCCATAGGCAGAATCCATAGAAAGAACAAAACTCAATCGATAGAAACCTATCCATAGAAAGATGCAGAACATAGAAACCAAGGACATGCCATCCATAGGCCCTTTATCCATAGACATGCTCTCAATAGGCACTCTATCGATAGACACCTATCCAAAAGCAAAGATCCATAGACATGCTATCCATAGGCCCTTTATCCATAGACATGCTCTCACAGGCAACTATCGAAAGACACTCTATCCATAGGCACTCTAGCGATAGACATGCTATCCATAGGCCCTTTATCCATAGAAAGCAAAAGGCACTCCTATCGATAGACACTTCATCCATAGGCAACATAGACATGCTATCCATAGGCCCTTTATCCATAGAACATGCTCTCAAAGGCACTCTATCGATAGACAGATCCATAGGCACTCATCCATAGACATGCTAGCCATAGGCCCTTTTCCATAGAAGATGGAATAGGCACTCTATCGATAGACACTCTATCCATAGGCACTCTATCCATAGACATGCTATCCATAGGCCCTTTATCCATAGACATGCTCTCAATAGGCACTCTATCGATAGACACTCTATCCATAGGCACTCTAGCGATAGACATGCTATCCATAGGCCCTTTATCCATAGACATACTCTCAATAGGCACTCTAAAGACACTCTATCCATAGGCACTCTATCCATAGACATGCCATCCATAGGCCCTTTATCCATAGACATGTTCTCAATAGGCACTCTATCGATAGAAAGATCCATAGGCACTCTATCCATAGACATGCTATCCATAGGCCCCTTTATCCACAGACATGTTCTCAATAGGCACTCTATCGATAGACACTCTATCCATAGGCACTCTATCCATAGACATGCTATCCAAGGCCCTTTTATCCATAGACATGAAAGGCACTCTATCGATAGACACCCATCCATAGGCACTCTATCCATAGACATGCTATCCATAGGCCCTTATCCATAGACATGCTCCAAGAATAGATAGACACTCTATCCATAGGCACTCTAGATAGACATCCTATCCATAGGCACTTTATCCATCCAGACATGATAGACACTAATCCATAGGCCCTCTATCCATAGACATGCTATCCATTTCCATAGACATGTTCTCAATAGGCACCATCGATAGACACTCTATCCATAGGCACTCTAAAATAGACATGCTATCCATAGGCCCTTTATCCATAGACATGCTCTCAATAGGTACTCATCGATAGACACTCTATCCATAGGCACTCTAGCGAAAGACATGCTATCCATAGGCACCTTATCCATAGACATGCTCTCAATAGGCACTCTATCGATAGACACCCCATCCATAGGCACCTATCCATAGACATGCTATCCATAGGCACTTTTATCCATAGACATGCTCTCAAGCACCCATCGATAGACACTCTATCCATAGGCACTCTAGCGATAGACATGCTATCCATAGGCACTTTATCCATAGACATGCTCTCAATAGGCACTCTATCGATAGACACTCTATCCATAGGCACTCTAGCGATAGACATGCTATCCATAGGCCCTTTATCCATAGACATGCTCTCAATAGGCACTCTATCGATAGACACTCTATCCATAGGCACTCTATCCATAGACATGCTATCCATAGGCCTTTATCCATAGACATGCTCTCAATAGGCACTCTATCGATAGACACTATCCATAGGCACTCTATCCATAGACATGCTATCCATAGGCCCTTTATCCATAGACATACTCTCAATAATAGGCTCTCTATCGATAGACACTCTATCCATAGGCACTCTATCCATAGACATGCTATCCATAGGCCCTTTTATCCATAGACATGCTCAATAGGCACTCTATCGATAGACACTCTATCCATAGGCACTTTAGCGATAGACATGCTATCCATAGGCCCTTTATCCATAACATACCTCAATAGGCACTCATCGATAGACACTCTATCCATAGGCACTCTATCCATAGACATGCCATCCATAGGCCCTTTATCCATAGACATGCTCTCAATAGGCACTCTATCGATAGACACTCTATCCATAGGCACTCTAGCGATAGACATGCTATCCATAGGCATCCACATCCATAGACATAGACATGCTATCCAGGCCCTTTATCCACAGACATGCTCTCAATAGGCACTCTATCGATAGACACTCTATCCATAGGCACTCTATCCATAGACATGCTATCCATAGGCCCTTTTATCCATAGACATGCTCTGGCAGGCACCAAGGCACTCTATCCATAGGCACTCTAGCGATATCCCATAGGCCCTTTTCCATAGACATACTCTCAATAGGCACATCGATAGACACACGGATCCATAGGAACATCCATCCATAAACATGCTATCCATAGGCACTTTTTTTTTTGCTTTCCATAGGCACTCTATCGATTCAC